TATGCTAACTAGAACCTCAGCATGTACAGTTGGGCAAAAAAGTATTTAGTGAGCCACCAATTGTGCAAGTTCTCCCACTTAAAAAGATGAGAGAGGCCTGTAATTGGCATCATAGGAAGACCTCAACTATGAGAGACAAAATGAGAAAACAAATCCAGACAAATCACATTGGCTGATTTGGAACTAATTTATTTTGTCTCTCATAGTTGAGGTCTACCTATGATGCCAATTACAGGCCTCTCTCATCTTTTTAAGTGGGAGAACTTGCACAATTGGTGGCTCACTAAATACTTTTTTGCCCCACTGTATATGAGCCAGAAATACAGAGTAGTAATGGAACCTCAAGGCAAAATACAAAGGACACAAAATGCAATGACATAATGGTACCAAGAAACTTTAATGGAGATAAAATTCTTAATCAAACATAGGATCATTTATCTGTGGCCCAGAGATGACTCTCCAATCTAGTCTAGGAACCCTCCTGCCGTGGCTAGTGGTGGGAGTAAACACTGAAACAGATCCGGAATGCTGGGATCAACATACCAAAACCTGCTAATAGGTCCAAAATGCGTCTTCTAACCCTTCGCCACCCCATCCAAAATGTATTTTAAAGTTTGGCTGACGTTACACTTTGATTTTCTTTCACTTAAATTCCCCTTGCAAATCTCAATCCCCCCGACCAAGCCCTGTCCCCATGTGACATCACTTGCCAAAGCTACTGTCCACCAGAGGATTTTACAGTCTGGGATGGCCTGGTATATGCTTGCAAAGTCAGGTTGAAAAACAAAAACCATGGGGAGGCAGGCCATGCCCCTATTAGCACTATAGGTAATAACTTCAATCTGCTCCTATTTTCTCTTCTTTATTTTGTAATACAAAGCCCAATGCACACTTGCATTGAAAAAATGGTGCTAGCAAATACCTGCAGCGGCTTTCATTGCCCATCAGGGCCATTCTGATTGAGCAAAACTCTGACAGATCCAGGTAGTGTCAAAGCTTGCCCACTGGTCCCACATTCCTACTGGCCCATCACTATAATGGGCTGCCTTACTGGACAACAGGAATGTGAGGGAGGTGGCAGGGGGCAGTCAAGCATTACCAGAGTTTTGCTCGATCAGAGTGGTCTGGAATACGAAGCAGAAAATGGAATCTGCTGCAGGTTTGCACAGGTAACTCCAGGTGGCTACTTTCTTTTATTACTGTCCTCTGTCCATGCTAAAATTCTCTCTAACTTCCTGTCTCAGTGACACGTTCCTTTTCTTCTCCACTACATCCAAAACAAAGGCTTGAGTTCCACTTGAAAGCCAATCTCTGAGCAAACCAAAAAACTACCCTGGCGGGCTAACTCCACACTGCAAAGGTTAACTGCTTGCTATTGGCTAGGGACTGAAATTAAGCAGATTTACTTACCTGCTCCCTCTGGGCTGCTAAACTGGTCCCAGTTGAGTCTTCTCTCCTTTGTTCCAGTGGTCTAAGGACTGCTGAGGTCATCTTGTCTAATGCAGGTTCCACAGACTTACATTAGACATGAGAACACAGAGGAACATTTCACCATAGCAGAACCAAAAAGGAGAGCACTGGCCACCAGCGGTGCGGGGATTAGGTATGTAAAATGCTTTACTCCAGTCCCCCAGACAAAAATGAGCAATTGACCCTTGAAGTGCGGGGGTAGCCTCACTGCAAGGGTAGCTGTTTAGTTTGCTTGGAGATAGGCTTTAACACATACTCAGACACACACATTAACACATACATCCTATAATTTCAAGGAGAATTAAGGGGAGAGTGAAATACGAGAGCCAACGCGTAACACTGAAGCTGGCACACGTCGGCTCTATAGATTGAGAACTGAGCAATCACATACTGCTGATCATTCAGTACCCGATCTGTCATGGCCACAGAGCGGCTCTGCGCAGTCAGCATAAAGCGGGCAATATCCTCCTGTGACTCTAAAGAGAACAATGACCAAAAAAGGTTGTGCCATAGTTCTCTTGTAACGTTATATAGGTTATTGACTTATGCAGTGGGACAGCAAACAGATCCAGACTAGGCCGTTTTAGAGAAAACGAAATTCAAAAGCTGTAGAACACTTTCATAAAATCATTTTTATTTACATATGTATATAAATATACATTACAAATAATTTACTTGTTTAGAAAAAAAAAATAACAAAAACATCTCTTTTTGAATTTGTATAAAAAATAGGTGTAGGCTGGTGCTTTAATCTGGAAGTTTGTTTGTTCACTGAGTGACCGGCTGAGCTGCGTATACTGTGCAATGTGTAGAGCTCTCATGCTTAGGCTACAAGGAGGCCTCTGGAACACATGCAGGTATATTCCATAAACAATAGACGACGTTATGTGGGGTGTGCAGTTACCACAGCAACCAATCAACTTAAAGATGAAATTCGATTGGATGCCACTGGATCCCTCTACGCCTTGCATCTTGCTCTTTGCCTTACTGAATGGTCAGTGCTAGGGATGCACCAATACCAGTTTTTCGGTATCGCGTACCGATATTTTGTTTCAGGTACTCGCCGATACCAAAACTGGAAGTCCCATTAAGGAAGCCGGGCGGCGTGTAATGACTAGCCGCACGGCTTCCTGATTAGCCGGGAAGCTGTCTCCATGCTCCCTCGTCACCAGGTGACAAGAAAGCATGGAGCTGGCTTTCTGGCCAATCAGGAAGCCGAGGGGCGGGTAATGACTCGCTGCCCGGCTTTCTGATTGACCAGCTTCTCGATCAATAAGGAAGCAGGGCGGCAAATGTCATTAAACACTGCCCGGCTTCCTGATTGGCCAGGAAGTCGGCTCCATGCTTCCTCATCACTAAGTGACGAGGGAGCATGGAGCCAGCTTCCAGGGCCAATCAGGAAGCAAGGCAGCGTGTAATGATTTACCACCCGGCTTCCTAATACCGGAAGTTCTAGTATCAGGATAGGCATCGGAAGCATTTGGGCGAGTACAAGTACTCGCCCATTATACTCGGTATTGGCACCCATACTAGTATCGGTATCGGCACACCAGTCAGTGCAGGATGCAGACTTGCAGAAAGGCAAAGTGGAGTTGGTTTATAAAGAAGCATGCTCCAGTACTAGGATGCTATGATGTTCATCACGTGATCCAATGCTATGAATCACAATTTAAAGTGTACTTGTCAAACATGCAGAACAAAGACAACATACCATATGATTCAGTAATCTTGTCTTCGTTCAGTATTCCGGGGTGTACAACTCCAGTCCTCAAGGGCCAAGATCTTGGGATTTATTGACTTGTCTTAGAGGAAACATGTGCTGACAGAATGATGAAGGCTGAGAGTGCTAATCGCCTGGCTGTCTCTGGCTCCAATACTTCATGAGTCACTGTGGCCACTTATGTCAGAACTTGCAATCCACACAGCTGTCCCAGGTAAAAGACTCAAAGTATTAACCTTTTTATGACCAAAGATCATTGAAACCTTGACGCCCAGACCAAATTCAGAAGCATCAGATAAAGTTTACATTTAAACTATAATTACACTTTTGCAGCAAATGGTTATAAAACCTATTTCATATTTGTTACATGTTCCCATTCACATAGCAATAGTTAAAAAAATATATAAAAAATGCTTCTTGCAGTTTAAATTGCTTTTAATAAGGGTTACAAATTCTACTTGCTTCTCCTTTGCAATGTTAGGAGGGGCTAAAAGATTGCAGCCCTGGCTTCTGCATTCAAATGTTAATGAAGTTAATAGAGAATTAAGAGGTGAGTGCTTTTCACTCAGCCTCCTAATCTGAGCCGACCTGTGACAATGAAACGGTCACAGGTTGGCTCAGTAGCTCGGGAAGTGAGCGAACACATAGCGTCCCTCGCTCACTTCTCGATCCTGTCCCTGCAGAGAGCCGTGACTGCCACTCACGGCTCCGTGCAGGGATTCCCCCCTCCCCTGTCTGATCCTCCAGCGCTGACTGGCGGAACGGACGGGGGAGGTCGCGGGCACAGCTGGCTTTGCCTCTGGATTGGCAGAGCCAGCTGTGAATCCCGCAGCTGGGTGGATCTCGACAGCAATGTCGGGATCCGTTCCAGCTGCGGCGTCTCAGTATACCGCGAGCTGTAGCTCACGGTATACTGAGCTTTGGGTCACGGGAGGACGCTAGTTTGTGTTCTCCCGTGACCCTTAGGAGAACTATGGGGAACAGCCCTGACCCCATAGTTCTCCTTTATTGAGAGAAACAGAATCCTCAAATTTCAGTCCTAAGTTTCTATAAGGACAGATCACTGTGAAGGTGCTGAGAAAAACCTGAATTCAGCCATGGTGCCTGCTGCAACACAACATCTAAAAGGTAAGAAGTATTTTTTTTTTTCGGTATGCTGTGTGAATAGGAAAACATAACAAACATATGTTTGACTGCAAATTTGACTGCAAAAGTGGAAATACACTTTAAGGTTTTTTAAGGACATACATATAAGGCTTTCATTTGTTACATAATGTTTTTATAAATCTTTTTTGATGTCTGTATTTCCTGCTGGCTGTAGCTGTAAAAATGCCTTCCTCTGTGCAAGACAAAATGATAGCTAAGCCAGCAGGTTTGGCTTTGTAAACAAACCCCTATGATAACTATGATTGGCTCTCATAGTGATCATGTAATCTGAATCCAAACAGTGATTCCTGATCATTACTGTGGGAACACACACAGCACGCTCTTCGAACAAGGAGCCTGCACTGTTGTGTGCTCCTAGTTCCAAAATGGAAGTATGTTAGCATCCCCTTAGAACAGGTTAACATTCCCTTAGCAAAGGGCATTGTGAGCGACAAAAAGTGAGTTATGTAGGGTGTGACTGACTAATATCCCAAGTCTCTGACTGATAGGTGGCCCTCAAGGACTGGAGTCATGAACCCATGTGCCATTCTGTTAGACATTAGAAGGCTGGACACTTGTCAGAACCTTTACAGTGGTTATTTCCACAGTGGATGACTACGATGGACCAGCAATTTGGCCAACCCCATCATCCCACTCTATTTCATCCAAGCTCCAAACAACAGTGGATATGGTCCAGTTCAGAAAGCATGAATGGTGTGAAGAAGCTAGGCACATAGAAAAGCTGTGGGGTTCATTTAGGGTTAAATGACATGGGCCATTCAAACCTACTATTGTATTAATCATGCTGTTGGGTGATTTAACCTCTTATTTGACAATCACCTTATATGTAACACCTTGACGTCAATATGCTACAAATGACCTGACTGCCAACAAGAGGTTAAATTGCCAATGGCAAAAGATATAAACTACCCGTGTATTTAGCCCTAAAAGTCTGTGTATATCATGACATGATGAGGTTAACCGTCATAGCTGATATCTGGCGCCTCTTCCACCTCCTCGCTGTCATCCACACTGTTGTGCCGTATGTGTTCAGATGCTGGCTTGTGGCTCAATGGAATGGAGAGGGCCCGATGCACGGCTTCCACTGTGCTCTGGGGTACGTAATAGGTCAGGTTGACAGATGGCATCTTGGACCTCATTTCCTCCAAACAGCGATAGGCCTGGTTAAAGGTAGTGGACATGTTAGCAGTTAGTACTGAACTTTCTACAGCACGGTAGAGTTAACGTATTGAAAGTCAATAAGAGGAAAGTGTCTGTTGCCCACAACAGCCAATCAGATTTGACTTTTGTTTCCTTTACCTGCGTAAATCACAGCTGGAGTTTGAATGACTACTTTCAGGATTTTTTTAATACAATAATACAGTATGGACAGCTAGGTGAGTTAGTAGACAGCACTGTAGCTTGGCGGAGTGCTATTTTTATGTTTCATCAGGGATTGCATGGAGTTTGTATGTTTTAATAGAATCATAGAAGAGTGACGACAGAAAAAGACCATTAATCCGCCTCTTTTTGGGTTTTTGGTTTTCTTCATTTTTTAAAACTTTTTGCCTGAGTATAGATCTATGTTTGTCCCAAGCATGTTTAAATTCAATGTCAACTGACTCACTACCTATGCTGGAAGTCTGTCCCAAGCATCAACTACTCGTTTAGTAAAATAATATTTCCTAGTGTTAGTTTTGAACTTTTCTCCTGCTAGGATGAGGTCACGTCCCCATGTTCTCAATCTTAGCTTCATATTGAAAATACTGCCCTCCTGCACCCTTAATTCACAAATCATGCCCCCCCTTTCCCTTCTTTCTTCAAGACTATACATATTACATTTTGTGTGCATGTGTGGGTTTGCTCAGTGCACTGCACATTCCACCCACAAGTAAAGTCAATCTCCTGGATTCTGAAGTGGCCCAGATTGTGTATGATGGTGGCAGGTTGTGATAAGGAACTATGTAGGATCTAAGGATCCATCACATTCTCAAACAATTCATCCCCACACAGCTACCTCCTCGTGTATCATTTCACCCTCCTCTTTCAGATTGTAAGCTCTCACGGGCAGGGCCCTCCTTACCATCTTGTCTTGAATTGTATTGTAATTGTAACGTCTTCCTTATATTGTAAAGCGCTGCGCAAACGATATAACTGCGCAAACTGTTGGCGCGATATAAATCCTCTATAATAATTACATAGTTACATAGTATTTGAGGTTGAATTAAGACATAAGTCCATCAAGTCCAACCTATTGTGTGTGTGTGTGTGCACATAATAATGTAATGTAATGTAATGTAATGTACTCTGTAAAGTGCTGTTTAATTTGCCTGTCCTATATGTGGAAACAGTGTACAGGCCTCTGATTGATCCAGTGTGTCCCCGCAGGCGATTTGGTTGCAGCATTGGACCATCCTGCCGGAAGGTCAGATGATAGTCAGACAACAATCGCAATGATAACTTACATCAACCATCAGGGAGGGCCCTGAAGTTTGCCCCAGCAGCAAGAGAGGTGGATTGGTTCATATCCTGGGCAGAACTTCACGTTCCGGCCTTGTCTTTTTAAAAACGTAGACAACTGGTAGGCAGATATATTTAAAAACGTAGACAACTGGTAGGCAGATTTCCTCAGCCAGCAGCGCCTAGACACCTGAGGGTGGGTCCATACACCTGACGGTGGGTCCATATACCCACAGGTGTTCAGGACCTGTGTCGCAGGTGAAGGATGTTGGATGTGGACCTTATGGCAGGAACCCCTCCACTACCTCCTGCTCGTCGGCTGTTTGTCTGCATCTTGGGTACTTACCAAGGTCTTGGCACTAGTATTGGCCCTGCTGTGCTCTCATGGCATCCTCAGTGTGGGATACTTAGACAATCTCCTGTTGAGGGAACAGTGAGGGCTCTGTGCCTCTAACTGTTCAGACCGACAGCTCTGCAGTCAGGGAAGTCCTTACTTCCCTTCTTTTGGACTATACTCTTGACAGACTTCAGCCTTTTGGACGGAATTCCTGGGCTCTGCATCAGTTTAGGGGCCTTTCAAAAAAGACTTGACCTGGCTGGATGCACAGTGGGGAACAGACCACTTTTGCACAAAATCCTCACAAAACAGATACAAGGCTAATAAATGTTTGGGGGGATAAACTTATCAGGATACTTACAATCTCCAAACAGAAACAGTTGCAAAACTGGGTGCAAAAGGATAGTGTTTCTAGCCTTAGAAGTTCTAAGTGACCCAAGACTGGAAGCAGGACTGATTGAAGCAATAGGCTAATCCTCACGTTTGACAGTGGTGTGCAAGAGCAAAAATGGCCGCTTTTAATTTGAAAGCAATAGCAGCAAACTGCAACTCCTCAGAGGTACACCCGTGAATCAGGGACTGTAGGTGACTCAGAATAAGACAGATTCTCTGCGGCCAATGGCTTGGAAGCTGCTAGGGCTGCAAGCAAACCAGATATAGAATTAGGGCGCGCATGTGTTGCCTCTACAATCAGAGACCGCAAATAATTGGGTAATTTGGGTAATAGAGTCTTGAATGACTGTGGTAAAAACCTTAGCTGAAAGGGTATGAGATCCATCCACACCCAACAGAGCTAAAGAGGACTCGGAGGATGGGATAGAACAGAGAGCAACATGACTACAGACTGCAGATGTCAGTAGGTGCACTGCAAGTAGTCCCAGAGCCATTAGTAGAAAGTAAACTGGGGGCGGACAATACAGCGACTATTCCTACCTTGTCTAGAATCAGACATGTTGCATTTGTGTGGTGGTAAGGTAATGTAGAAGCTCAGAGTAAGAGGGAAAGCCTCAAGTACTCATGAATCCAGTACAGGTGGTATAAGGTGAGGGTTGGATGGCTGCAGTTGACCAGAGTCAGTGTGGGTGGGCAGCAGAAACAGATCAAAACTTGAAGTTCAACCTGGTTTGCAAGCAGGAGCAGCAGTGAGGAAATGCTTCCTTGTCACTGGTAAACCTGCTAGGAGGTGGTGAATAATAGCACCCAGTGTCCTATACAAATGAGGTAGCTACCAGTGATCAGCCTGACTGTCCTACTCACTAATTTAGTCTTCAGAGACGGGGCAAGTGCAGAGACAATTCCAGCGGCTCTTGACTTGGAAAGCTAACACTGCAGCTAACTTTTACCAGAATGAATTCTAGAAAATGCTCCATGTAAAACCCCCTGCCTTAGGATCACTTCTAGGCTATGCTATCACCACAACGTCCAGTCCAGCGTGCTCTGGATGTGGTATTTCATTGAGGATAACCGCATGGATGGCTGCAATCAGAGATATAACTCCAGCAACAGTGTATAGAAAAGTCTTGATTGAAAAAAAATATAGCAAATAATGATGTTAGTCTTTAACACAACAGAGCTGAAGAAGAGATGTCCATCCTCTCAGGTCACCAGCACAATACTGAGGCGTGCTGGTAGTAGGAGGGGTTTTTTTTTTGTCAGTGTCCAGTCCTGTAAGCGGCAGCATAACTCGAGTGTTAAAGACTTACGGTGTCCCTCAATAAATAAGAAAGAAAGTAAGTAAGCAGCTGGGTGAGGGTGCCTAGGTTAGTTTAGGTTAGCAGGGCCAGTATATGTTTTATCCTATAAGCTGACCATAGACATCAGGGAATGGCTATACGTATATGCACAATCTAACCCCATGACAATACAATATATGCAGGTAAAAAATACCCTATATATAAACAAACACTCTGGCCATATAGGAGTTCCTGTATAGGCAATAAATGGTGGTGAGGGGTTGGGAATGCATGTGTACACTGTGTGGTGGCAGCTTATCTTGAAGAAAATCCATAGCAATCAGACAAGCTTTTCTAGCCTGTCCAATATCTTCATCCCTGAAAACCGTTATGCAGGATTGAGGTGCACTGTAGTGCAGACTATTACCCAATCCAGCCAAAAACAGCTGACTTGGGATACTGTCATACCATGTCTATTGATACCTTTATATGATGGAAAATTATTTGTCTATACAGGTCATAATGTCTATGGCTAAATACTGATTTAGACCAGCAGTACCGTTACAGTTCCACTAGTTCTCATTCAGAAATGGCAATGTAATCAGTTACATGACTGGAAAAACTCTGTGAGCTTCAAGTTTTACCTTCTGGAAGTCTCCCTGCTGTGTGTACTGTTCCACCAGCAGACCGTACACATCCCCAATGCGCACAGCACTCTCCAGATCTGGCTCTTCCAACAGCAGCTCGCACTGTCTGATAGCTTCCTGCTTGTCTGAGGAATACGCTCTGCAACAATAACAAATGATTATCCGGGTGCTTAACTATGATAAAAAATGACATTCTGGTAACAATAGATACACAAAATGTGTATTACATAAAAATGCACAAAAATGTCCATTTAATACGGCTTCCTCTGCTACAGGTCAGTGTAAGTGAGCTGAAATGATTGATGCTTTCCACCCGACTCAAGATGTGACCAGTCTGCATCTACTGGAGATGAGTTACTTTCATCTAATATATGCCATTTTAGATTGATTTCAGGAACGTGCATGGGCAGATACAGAATACACATCGAGACCATTTCTCTTTGAACGTAAAGGGTAATTCATCCAAACCTGTTTGTGAGCTGAACATGACCAGTCAGCTTCTTAAAGGACTAGTCCATCCAAGAGAAGTATATAAGTTATAGGTGTAGCATGATGGACGCAGCCAGTGCCTGGTTTCTTATAGGTCACATGAATGTACCTGACAGGTTCACTTTAAACAAAACCTGCGAGGACAGATGTTTTTGAAGATACAAGCTCCAGCGCTATCATCCTGAACCTGGCCTACTCACCTAGAACAAGCATGTAATCAGTGAGACCTGAAAACCTGATTTTGTATTCTAAATCTTTGTTTCATGTCAGTGACTCACTAGGTAGGAACACATTTAGGGTGACAGCCGTGGAGTACACAGCTTTAAAAACAAGTCAGCAATGGCAGCTACCAAATCCCTTTTTTAATGGGTTTCCTATAAATCTGATCTCCTGGCAGATAGATAAGACACACATGAATGCAGCCCTGCAGTCACTAATACATCTCAAAGTGTATTTTTCTTTTAAAAAAAGCAGTGTATGTGGCTGCATTTGGCTTCCTATCAGCCTCTTGCAGTCCCCTGTATAGCAGAGATCAGACTAGGGGAGGAAGAAGCACCACCAGGGGCCCATCAGGTGTACTTTAGTGCTCATGTGCTAACAGGAGATAGTCTAATGGGAGGAAAGAAAAGAGTGACAGAGGGATGAGCTCATCATTCTGCTGCTTCTCTCTTCACTATGACCAGCTGTGGGAGGGACAAGACCTGTAGGTATTAGCGACTGTGGCAATGATAAATCAGGTCTCCTGTCCTGCCAGACAAGGCTGTGTTATGTGGCAGAGCTGTGTACATTCTCAGGACTGGATTGATAGAAATACAAATCCTTTGGCAGATACAATGACTCCGTTATATGTATTTCAATGGTGTATTCAGCTCTTTGCCTGGTGTTCTGCTTTAAACCTTTCAGGTACATCAATTACAATACTGGCAAAGTACCCGCAAGTATCAATAATAATGCTCTGATCGATATCTGTGTGTCCTGGAGCGTCTAGATCTAGGGTGGAGCATGTAAAGCCCAAGCCATTGCACTTTTACACATCAGGTGTGATGCTAAACTCCAAGTGAGACAGAAGTCAGAAGCCAGGCCATTTGTATATGACTGGATCCAGGGGCTCCCAAAATTAAATGGAGGATTATCAATGGTTCTTGTCATGTTGGGCAGTTTGATGACAGACTGGCTTCAAAGAGGATGTATAATGGTTTGTACATCATTTCTTAATTTATTATGGTTTATAATTTTTTGCTGTTGTTATAATTATATTAAGATTTAGAAGTTTCCCTTTCCAGCCAGCAGGCGGAGCTTTTGGCTCCTTTTTCATATCGTATAGGCTCGTATTTTGATTCCAAAACCCAATAGCTCAATTTGAAATTGAATGATTCATCTCTAACTGGACAATACAGCCCAAAATTTCAATCAAACAAATCTTGCCTCAAAGCAGGTCACATCTGCTGTGCAGTCTCTTTAGCTAATCCTATGTCTATTAAATTGCTTTTTTTGTTAAACGCAGATGTTTATATGGATAGTAACAAAAGAGACATAAAACAACAGTTTACAAACCCGAACACACAAAAAATAAAATTGACCCTAAAGCAGTAAAGTTTATCTTAAAGTGGCACTAAACTCAGGAGTTAAATCTTAAAAATGTATTCAAGTACCTTAACTATTAACATACAGTAAATGTATCTTATTTGTGTATTACTCGGCTGTAGATCCTCAAATCATCTCTGAATTGGTGCCGACGCTGTCCTTCCTTCTGGAGGGGGGCTACTTTTGTTCCCCATGGTCCCTGTGTGTGTTGTAAAGTAGTCACAGCTCCAAGCTCGCTCTTGTGATGGACTACAATCTCACGTCTTGTTTACGAATTTGTATTGAGATTGTAGATCAGCGTGTTTGGAGCGGTGGCTACTTTTCAACACACAGGGACCATGGAAAAGAAAAGTAGCCCCCCTCCAGAAGGAAGGACAGTGTCAGCACCAACTCAGAGATGATTGGAGGATCTACAGCCGAGTGATACACAAATAAGATACATTTTTGTTAATAGTTGAGGTACTTGAATGCATTTTTAAGATTTAACTCCAGAGTTTAGTTTCGCTTTAAAGAGACTCTGTCGTCAGACAATTTATTTCAACAATCTTCCCATAAGAATATGTGTGAATTTACCTGTAAAAGTCTGCCTCGTGTAGACATCCTGAAGCCCCAAGACTGCTGCCGGATCTGCATCTTCAATGTTATGTTAGCAGACTCAGAGCTGATATTCAATTGACGTTCTTTTGCAGGGGGTAGACAACCTCGGCATTCCAGCTGTTGTGGAACTACAAGTCCCATGATGCGCGTCAAGACTCTGACAAGCATGACTCCCAGAGGCATGGCCATGATGGGATTTGTATTTTCTCCGAAGCTGGAGTTCCGAGGTTGCCTACCTCTGTTCTATAGTATTCCCATTCACTCCTCCCCTAGCTGGGGGGGCAGAAGAGTTAGGTCAGCGCAGACAATAATTAGGCATGCAATTTATCGACTGCATTAATATGCTCACACTTGGAGACTCGTATACATAGAGTTAGGACCACACTTTGCAGAGATGCCTTGGCGCGGCGGTGTGGCTTCTACATATTTTTGGACAAAAGTTTGTGCAACTAAAACCTCTGATTTTAACGCGTACTGTTGACAGGGCAAATTGTTTGGTTGCAGGCTAGCTGGCAGGTGAGCTGGGGATTTTTTGTGTTTTGTATTGTTGTAAGCCTTCCCAATGTGCTCCCTGCCAAAAAGGCTGGTTATAGATTCATGCAGGTACCATTTTTTCTAATAATTAGACACCCCCACCAGAGGAGAAAACTATGACGTACAAGGAGGGAGTGGGCTTTGCTAGGGAACTGACTGGTCATGATAATAAAAAGCAATTTATGGAAAGGAAAACCACTGCAAATAAGCATTTAAAATACCTGTGCTTTTAGCTAAAATTGTTTAAGTTAGTGAGAGAGTCTCTTTAAAGAGGGGTATTTATAGGGAACACATCAATATGACAGTAAAGCTTCAGAAATCACCTAACCTAATGTGTAGTGTTAGCAGCCCCATCGTCCGATTAAGAAATGAACACAAAATTATTAGGATATATCTTGAGATACGAACAGCGCTGATGTTATAAACCCTGGAAAAGATTTCGTTTAGGTTGAAATGAGACTCACCTGCGAGCTTGAATAAACCTTTTCACCAGTGTCAGCTTGTTCTGCATACCAGACACTTTTCTTTCCTGCTCCTCTGGGCTCCTCATTTTGGCTTTGGTCAGACATTTGTAGGCCTCAGTCAGAGCTCCCATGGCCTTCTCATAGTTCTGATACTCATCAATCTCCACCTAAAAAGCATCATCAACTTGGTAAAATAAATCAGTTTAGTTCATCTTTAAATAAAGAATACATTCCTACATGCACTCACCTGAGCACAGGCGTCATAGAAGCCAGCTAAGAGGTCAAGGGCCCTGCCCTTTGTGTAAAAGGTGATGATGTTATTCACAATGTAAGGATCTTGGCGCCAGTCCAGGGACTGCAGGTAATTGGCTGCCATGATATAGATTTCCTTTTGACGAGACACACCAGCAAAGAAGACAATCTTCTCAGTGTCACCAGACTTCAGTAAGGACCTCATGGCCTGAAAAAAGAAGACAAATATGAAGAGCACCATACATGAAAAAAGACAAGGTCTACCATTCTGGCAAGCCATGGCAAGCTGCTCAAGAACCTCTAAAATGTCTAAGAACATCTAAAATGTTTCCATATTTTAAAAAGAGCCCAATATCTTGAATGAAGAATTACTGATTATACAGCAATTACTGTATATAAAAAAATCAGTGGTGCTAAGCGTTCTTAATACCCTATATGGCCAAAAGTATATACAAAAAACTCTTGCAGTGGAGAACCTGCCCTGAAATAGTTAAAAGCTAGTGAAGTGTGGGATTATAGGGATGAGATGTAATAGATACCTCATTCCTCGCTCCGGCAGGCTTCCAGTGCTCTCCTCTTATCTCCAACCTGCCAGGTTGCGAGCAGGTTCTTGCCACCCTCACATATGTAGGACTATTGGTCCTACATTGTGCCTAATGGCGTAAGTGTGACCACCTGCCAGACTGGCAAAGGGACTGGTTGCACCCCATGAGGAGGAAGTCTACTGGAGCCAATAAGGTAGGTATGACACCTAATTCTTCTCCCCTTTGTCTTAAGAAGCATTTTTCCCATGCAGGGCTGAAAGGTCACGCTGCAAGATTATTTTTCCAGGTGTATGCAGTGGGACTTTAAGTTCAGGTGTTTCAGTATACTATATGCTGCAGCACATAAAAACAATGTGGAAAATTGTGCGTTCCAACCTTGTGGCAACATTTTGATGGAAAAAAATCCAACGTATTTCACAGGTTTTAAACAGCATCCTTCACCAGGGTTCAACAGGGTTGAACAAAAAGAAGTTCCAACTACAGGAGGTAAGTATCTGGACTGTGGGATTTCTGTAGGAGCACAAAACTAATTCCGGTTGCCATCACCCTTGATAAACCCTGATGAAGAGATCCCCTGAAAGTCGCCAAAATGTGTTTGCTTTTAAACAGATACTGTGAATATTAAACTAAATCTTGACTTGAAAACCCCGTTTGGTGCTCTTTTTTCTATATTGCTTATATACTGATCCAAAATCTAGAAGTGACCCTTGTATACCAAAGATCTGCCCCTTTAAAGCCTCTGCACTAGAAGACGTATATCGTTGGGACTAACAACACTTGGGAATCTAGCTTTTCCAAAACCTGCTCCACAAACATTAAAAGAGATTTCCTTGGTAGAGGACTTCTTACCTTTAGCTTGTTTCCAGCCTGCGTGTATTTCTTGGTGGCAAGATGATAGTTCCCTTGCCTCATGCAGCAGTCTGCAATACGCTCCAGCAGCTCTCTCCTTGCTTCCTCACTAAGCTCCTTGGAGTTTTTAGACACGGTCATCTTTTCGGCCATGTCCTCCGTGATGATGAGGTTCTGCTCCAGGCACAGCTGAAGAGCATCGTAATACTGCAGGACAATTACACACAGTGATAGAAAATGTTTTTGATACATTTTAAATAATATTAAAATACTTAAAAAGGGAACATTGAGAGTCAAAGTAGATCTAGACCCAATCACTAAAAGATCATATAATAATTTACCAGGCTAATGTCATTTTAAACGTTCTTAGTCTTTTTAGAGCTGTAGTTTAATTAAAATAATTCCTGGTGATCCTTTCATAATGGTTCTTATAGGATGACAACTGTCTCCCAATTGGGTTCCTACATTGTCACTCTGTCACATGTGCCCCTGGTTGAGACTGGCTGTGCTGAAACGAATTGTGCAGGAATGGTTCGTCACTGTCACTTTAAGGAAGCCGGTGCAGAGCAATAATCTGCAGTCATCACTGGAGCACATGCATTTAGACAAGAAGTGACTGGAAGATGCTGGAGGAAATTTTCAGAACTGAGATACAAAATAAAAAAAATAATAAGATGAAATCTAGTTGCAATTGCCAGTTGAAACCTGGCAATTGATTGAAATAGGATTATGCTTTAGCAAACTATATGTTATCCAGAAAGGGTTTAGATCTGAAAAGAAAACACTGTCAATCTAGCATAGCTCCTGAGCAATTCATCTATTTGCACAGCAGTTCACCCAGTGAGGACTACAAGTTCAATGTGACATTGTTCTTGCTCCGTTTGTAAGTATAAAGAGTTTTTCTATTATTTCCATTAATAAAAGGATTATTGCCCAGTGTCAGGCGCCCAGTGTTTTCTTTTCTTTTCTATGCAGTTTCCAGGATCCCTTGTCTGTTACGGGGCGGCCTTACTTGATTTTTATTAACTCTTTAGGCCACAGGAGGGTTTCTTTGGTTGTGCAGTTGGCGCTGGTCATGTCATTTTTGTGGCTAGGGTTTAGATCTACTTTACTAAACATACTCGCTGAACAATTTACCTTTTTAGCTGCTAAAAGCAACTCCACCGCCTTCTCAAACTGATTGTGCTGGATGAAAAAGTCTGAGCAACGGGCAAGTAAGGCTGGGTCTGATTTCTCATCTAGGTCCTCCGCTATTAACTGAAGAGCACCAAACTGCTCAGTGGCAAACGCCAACTCCAGTGCCTTAGAGAGGTGACCCGACTGAGTACAAGAAAAGACAAGAAACACATCATATTTCTATTTACTGAAAACATCAGGTACAAGTGCTGGTTACGTCTGGATTTCTTCATGCTGTTGAAGAATCCTTAATATATAAACAGGTGATCAATCTCTGCACTAAGTTTAAAGTTCTCTGTACTCTGGTAAACATGTTTTATATGGGTTCCCCAAAGATAAACCTCATCCTCCTGCTAGACAAAATGAACATATAGGTTAGTTTTGGATAGAGTATTGAAGGATTAGAATCCCTGTCATGTTTTCATTGATTCTATTCACCATTGTCATCGGGGCATAAATTGAAGGGAAAAACCTATATTTTACAGTTGTCACAAGAACAGGAGGTGAGAGTAAATATTCAGATAGGGGCCCCTCTTTCAGTGACAACTGTCTAAGGTAGGGTATACACGATTTCAGCCGGTTCCTGAGGAACCATCCAAAAAACTTACACAGTGGGTGCTGCTGTCGGCACCCTTCCGCCCAGCATCCCTCGGTCAGCTGATCAAGGAGCCAGTTGAAAAATTCTCGACCAAAAAGAGATAGCAGCCAGCTAGCCGCTGTGAGAATATAATGCAAACAGACGGGGATTCGTCCATCAACACTTGCGAGTGTTGATGGAGGAATCTGTTCGATCTTTTTTGTTTCCTCTCAGTTCTAGATGTGCCTCCAGGATAGCTGCAAAGGGAACTCACCCCAATGGAACACAGAAAGCAAAAAGAAAAAAGTTTTGGTATTAGATGCACTTTAAAAATGTATATAAACTGAAACTAATATACAACAGATAAGGGTTTTATAGCAATGATGGTCAACGTTAGGGGCATTCCCCAGGACTCACGACATTCCAGGCTTCAGAACATGATGTTCTTGCTAAAAAAAAAAATCAAGGCGCATTGGTGAAATGATATGCCAAGGAGGTACCAATTTTGCAGATATTCTGGAATTTTTGACAGCTACACAGTATGCAGAAGCATTAGCAAAAACGTGTCTTCTTATTGGGGTTATCCCTTTTGTCTGCAACCACGTTTAATCTATGCATCCTTATTCAGTCAACACCTCTGCCTGCACGGATCTCTTCAGTCTATTAGAAACCTTCCAATATTTTAGAAGATGGAATGAAAAGCTGGAATATTTTCAGTTGATCACATGATACCCACAACTTATTAAATGGCGGTGGTTCTTAAAGTTTACTCCCAATCTACTGTTTACCTTGTGGTAAAGCATAACAGCTCTATCCATCTGCTCCCCCTGATCCTCATAATAGCGTGCAGCATCCATCATATCCTCCGGAGTGCTCAGCAGAGCAAGGTTCATGAGCTGATCATGAAGATTGTTCTCCTGTACGGGAGAGAAAACCTACATCATGATCAGGTTCAGTAAAATAGCTGTTTCACAAATGCAACTTTTGCACAAGCCTACCTTGCAGAGCCGAATGGCGTTGTTGTAAGCTTGCGCCCTGGTGTAGAAGTGCACGGCCTGTTTCAGATCCCCTTGGCTTTCATACTGACGTGCCAGGTGGTAGGAAGCTGCCAAGTTACCGGTCTCATTGGCTATCTCTGCCGCCTGGAAAACAAGTTCATCAGCACATCTGACAGACAATGAGCATAGCTACTCACACTGAAAGACCAACTGTAGATCTAGTCGCAGGTTAAATGCTATTTGTATTGTATTCTGACAGCTGGAGAATGCGGCCAGTCAGGCCAGATGATGCCGGCAGGGGCACGAACACATAAAATTTCAGCCAAAAATGTCCGAAATTAATTTTGTGCATGACCATCTTAAGCGAGGATTATGAAGCACAGCTGCTTATGCTGGGGAGTGGTTATACCAAGAGCACATGGTGCAAGTGTCCCTGGACTAGTACGGGCAGGGTGCCCAAATATAATTAAAACTCTTCTTTATTCCAGCTGTTTGTATTACATTCTAAAGTAACGTGTTCTTTCCTTTAGTTGCCTGCTGCTGGTTTTCAGTAAACATGCAGGTGGAATACACTATACACAATTTTACTGCACAGCTGAACAGGACTATTAAAGGTGATGGTATAATATATGTGGTAGGCCCCTTTAAGAGTTGCTGCACTGTGGCTTTTAGCTCCACTGCTGTGTATACTGTATATGGTAATATAATGAAGAGAGTCTTAAGGTGCTAGCTATCAGCAGTGGCTGAATACAAAGTGCAGTCTCAGCACTTCAGTCGTTCTGTTTCATAGACAGTGCACAAATAAATTAGGCAATTAGGGTTAGGAAAGCAAAGATTATAACTAAAATGCCGTAATCCAGAGCAACCAATCAAACTTCATCCCTAACCTGTAGTCATAATGAAACATGAACATGGCTTGGTTACTAAGGGCTACTGTACTATGTCCTTATTAAAGCGTAACTAAAACCAATAAAAATGTTTTATATATTGCAGCCTACCAGTTCATAGATGTGGTGGCTGTTTTAGTTATAAGTTTGTCAGGCTAAGAAACATTTCTGCAAGTAGAGAAATACCTGTTGCCCTTACCAGAAATGCAGTATCCCTGCAACTTCCTGTGAGCTGCACAGAAAGCAACACCAACCTTTATCCTTCTTAATTACTAGTCCCATCAGTACCTCCTAATAGAGATGAATGCCGAAAGTTGGAAGTATAGGTGATACCCTTTACTAGCTTAACTTTACTTAACTTGTTTCTGCCGGTGTAACGCATACATGCAGAAACCTGGTGGGTGGGCCTTATTGCTGTGCCACTGAATATATGCACCAGCTGGCTCTGCTGTTGTGCTCGCTCACTAGCCTGATGCCAGTGGCTGACACTGACAGCTCCCAGTCACCATTTAGGATGGACTCCCAATCATGTGACCACCGGGACAGTCAATCATAGTGATTGTGTTATTTGAAAGCCCAGGTCTGACTCTACTCCTTACAGGGCTACCGGACGTTAGCGGCAGGGGATTATGTTACTAAAGATGCAAGCTTTTGGGATGCCTGAGATCCCTTCTTCAGGCTCTACACATTTTCAATTCCCAGAGGAAAATATCTAAGGTATTCCAAAAGGTTGCATCTGTACTAAATTAAAGTGAAATTAAAGGATAATCCCCCCCCAATACTAGTGTAAGGACTTACCTTAAATGATGCCTCTTGATCTGATCATCTTCTTTCCTGCAGTTTTCAGGAGTTCCTCCAGCGCTGGTGTCGGTCTCTGATCCAGCACTGACTGCTGAGTCTTATGTGTTCCATGGAGTCTGTGCGGGTGCACGCTGCCAGGCTTCGTGCATTGACTTATATTGTGTCTCTCCTCGTCTCCCGGCCGAAGATCTCTACTGCACATGCGCCTGCCCCATGATCCTTTGTGGCCGTCCGAGACTTTTCAGATCTTCGGACGGGAGGGCGCCGCTGAGACCCCCGAGGGTTTAATTGTCCTTTAAGTTAGCCACAGGGACAGGACTGTGTTATTTGCAGGATTACCAGGTGAAAATAAACAAAACAAAAGCCTGAAAAATGAATGCTAATGCAGCCACTAGATCTAAGCTCTGACAAGCTGCAATATGTTACACTTTTCTTTTTGGGTTTAGATACACTTAGATAAACTATTATGTATTGTTTTTTTCTTTTTTGTTCTGTGCCTCCCTTGCCCCCTTATCCTCACCTGTGGGATACCTGTTGTCCTCCCTATTACCCGTCATATCCCCTTCAGACCAAAGACACACCTAGCATTGCATTTTGGTCCAAGGCCTGTTACTGAGGGGCTATCTGGTTGTATATCAAGACGATGAATGCATTGTATCCTATATTTAATCTGCAGTTTACATAACTGTTTTGTTCTTGTCCTACGTGTTTAAGCTGCATCTTGCCTCATATACACCTTGCTCTCTATATGACAACCTGAAAGTCTTGACTATTGTATATTGGCAAATTCTTACCCATGTTGTACTGGTGTCTTGTATTGTGCAAAACCTTAATAAAAATGTATTGTTTAAAAAATAAAGAGAATAGTGTTGTTGCTGTACATCCTGGCCTCTTACCTTCTGAATGTTCTTCAGGAAGCAGTGCACTCGCACCAGAGACAGGTAGTCCTGAGCCATCTCATAGTACATGAGGGCAGAGTCCAGGTCAGACTGGCTTTCCAGGTACTGAGCCCACCATTTCCAAAGACTCCTGCACAATGCCAAACATTGACAAAGAGTTAGTGTCTCAGGTATGACATCATTGAAGAGCCTTATATTCTACAACTTTGACCATCAATTCTCCTCCAGTTAGAGGGAAGCAGCTGGACAGGTATACAGGCTTTAAAATCTGTGGATTCATTCAATAATACCGTGCAAAAAAACAATCATTTCCAGTAACTCACAGCTGTCACTTAGCTCACATCAGAGGATGCAAGGCCTTTAAAACTGGTTTAGGATTGATTCGTAATGGCTACTGCAAACCAATGTTTTTAGCCTTCTCCACACAACACAATGAAGGGAATTTATCAAAACTGGAGCAGACAAAATCTGGAGCAGCTGTGCACAGCAACCAATCAGCTTCTCTCATTAGGGTTGCCACCTGTCCAGAATTCACCTGGACAGTCCGGGTTTTGAATGTTGTGTCCGGGTTTTATGGCAGCTGAAACCCGGACACAAGATGTCAGGCAGACAGGGGCAACCAAAATTAAGATAGGGGCTACTGGCCCCCCACTAAAAATAGTCTCGACTGTGATATTTACATATGAATGGACAGGGGTATTTACATATGAATAAATAAGCCACGACTCATTCTCCCCCCAAAAAATTCTGTGCATTGCTAGAGTGTTCGGTTTCGTTAGAAGAAAAGGTGGCAACCCTATCTCTCATTCATTTTAAAATCTTCGCTGAACAAACTGAAGAGAGAAGCTGATTGGTTGCCGTGCACAGCTGCTCCACATATTGTCTGCTGTAGTTTTGATAAATTCCCCCCAATGTGCTAAGCTCAGGTGATCCACTGCATTTAACTTAAGCAGTTTATATATATTTCCTATTGCATCACTATCATAGTGAGAAAGGTTTTTTTAGAAGGCATTCATGTGGGACTGTAGCCTCTTTCTAGTCTTTCTACACTGTACCATCTCCATGATTTAAGAAGATTGCATGTCTGGGTTGTTGTTGGAGATTTACTCTTACTTTCTGTCTGGTGAAACCCTTGTCCCCATGATAGCGAGGGGAAACCTCTATAACCCCTTGGTGACCAGTGAGGTACATAGTACATCACCGGCAGCGGGTCCACTTAAACAGACTCCCAGCGGCTTTACATTTGTAGAGCTGGCGGCCGGATTTACAATAAAAACATTTCTGATGACATAGTTGTTGCCAGATCACTTCTACAGGCCAGTATACTGCACATTCTCCCCGCCCGACCGCCTGTTTCCCGGGGTCCGCTGCCCCTCCTGCGGGCCCAGGACCGGCATCTCAGGTGTCGGTGAGAAGCTGGGGAGGAGAGCGGCGAACAACTGTTCACTGATCTCCCCGTTCTATGGGACCGGGAGCGACGCGTATTACATCACTTCTGTAGAAGCAGGGACACCGGCACTCCAATGTAAACGCGAAAGAAGTCTTATTTGTTGAAAAGGTGTGACATATCACATAGATGCGACGACCGTTTCAGGGTCACACAAGATCCCCTTCCTCAAGCAACGACATGTGGCCATATTTCAATAAATAAGACTTCTTTCACATTTACATTGGAGTGCCGGTGTCCCCGCTTCTACTGTTACATGACGGTTGCCATCCGTCGATCACCACAGCACCCATCTGATTTCTTTTGGAGACAAGCGGTCAGGAGTGCGATGGGTTCATGGATTTACATCACTTCCGGTCCCATAGCTGTCATTGCTGGGCTTCTGAAGCCTAGGAATAAGCTATTGAAGTGCAATCTTAATAATAATAATATTATTATTATAATACAGGATTTATATAGCGCCAATAGTTTGCACAGCGCTTTACAATATAAGGAAGACATTACAGTCACAATACAATTCTAGACAAGATGGTAAGGAGGGCCCTGCCCGTGAGGGCTTACAATCTAAAAGGGAGGAGCAAGTGATACATGAGGAGGTAGCTGTGCGGGAATGATTGTTTGAGAAAGTGATTGTTCAGTGGTTAGGTTGAGGTGGGATAGGCTTCCCTGAAGAGATGAGTCTTAAGGGATCGCCTAAAGGCAGTCAGTGTGGGAGATAGTCGGACAGGTTGGGGTAGAGAGTTCCATAGGATGGGAGAGACTCTAGTGAAGTCCCTGAGGTGAGCTTGGGAGGAGTTGATGAGGGAGCTGGAGAGCAGGAGGTCTTGTGAAGAGCGGAGAGGACGGTTTGGGTAATACTTTGAGAGTGAGAAAGTTGTTATCAGCGAGGTGGCGGCTCAGGCGGCTGTAGATAAGGCGTTCTATGAGTTTGGAGGTGAATGGGAGTAAGGAGATTGGTCTGAGATTGTTGAGGTCGGTAGGGTCCATTGATGGTTTTTTGGGTATTGGGGTGACCAGGGCATGCTTTAGAGGGGAGGGAAAGATTCCAGTAGAGAGTGAGAGATTGAAAATGTATTAAGAGAGTGTAGGATAGAGTAAGAGGGTGAACAAAGTAGTGGTGAGTGAACCGGGTCCAGGGGGCAAGTGGTGAGGTGGGTGTCAGAGAGAAGCTTTGTAACCTCCCCTGTGGTGACACTAGGGGTCTTTTGGATAGCAATTGTGATAGCAATTAAAGTAAAAAAATAAAATAACAGTTTTTAAGAATAACATTAAATGAATGTCACGTAACCACACGTCGGGTGCGCCTACGTACGAAAATGATGATCGCGCTACACATGTTGGGTATCGCTGCGCACGCTAGGGTGAGAGAAATAATTCTAGGGCCAATATTAATGTATATCTCTAAACTGATGACCTGCAGGGGCTTTTAAAGCGTCGTCTATGGACTTTTTGGGGCACTTAATTTTGTCGTCGTTTCACAGACGCACACAATTTTTAACCTGGGCATGTTGGGTATCTATTTACTCATTGTAACCTCATCATTTTATAAATAAAATGTGTATTTGTTGGTGTTTTGGGGCACTAAATTTTACTTAAGTGCATTTTTCACTCCATTTTTGGGTTTGATAATAGGTTGCGCTAATATCATGCAACATAAAAATTTGCAACTGCCCCAATTTTATTCTACAGGGTCTTGGCTTTCAGAAAATGTATGTTTGGGGGTTTGAAGTCATTTTCAGGCCTTAAATGTGGATTATAACATGGGTGCGAAAAAAGGCCTCGGTCATTAAGGGTTAATTGAGACCTAGATAGCAGTAAAAAAAAAAAAAATCGAACAGGGGTTCTAGTCTTTCACAAAAATATCCAAAACCAAAAAAGTTTTGGCTGGACATACTTTTATCATTACAGATATTTATATTGCGCCAACAATTTACGCAGCACTTTACATAGTTGTATATTCACATCAGTCCCTGTCCTCAAGGAGGTTACAATCCAAAGTCCCTATCTCACATGCACACAGGGCCGATTTAGACAGGAGCCCATTAATCTTCCTTGCATGTCTTTGTAGTGTACCCGGAGGAAACCCAAGCAAGCACAGGAAGAACATTCAAACTCCTTGCAGATAATGTCCTGACCGGGATTTGAACCAGGGACCCTTAGTGCTGCAAGGCAGAAGTGCCCTCATTAAAGTGGATCTCAACCCTAACGATGAACTTTTATTTACACTCTTTTGGTCTTTTAACCCCTTCATGACTGAGCTTGTTTTTAGTTTCTGTTCGTAAATGACTGACACACTTTTGACATTTTTGCTGTGTGATTCTTCCACGTCAGTAATATACTTTCTTACAAAGTGCACCCACACATATTATATATTGTTTTTTAGAGGACAGATAGGGCTACATATTTATATCACATATGTGCGTCTAACGCCTCACTTAGGACAAATAAAATATAAAAAAAGAGGAAAAAAACGTTAAAAAAAACACTTTTTTCCCAGTTTTGATTTGTAGTATTTTTTTTACAAAACCAGCACAGCTAAAAAAATGCAATAAATACATTCATTTATTTGTCCCTTATTTTATTTTATTTTTACACATTTTTTTTTTTACACTTTTCACAATTTTTTTTTTACACTTTTCACAATTTTTTTTTTTTTTTACACTTTTCACTTTTTTTTAAACTTAAAAATTGTATTTTATTTATTTAATTATATCAAACAGTCATTGTGAATTAATCTCACTGTTACTGCTTGATAAATTAATACATTTTTGGTTATTATCAGGCTGCTTCAAACTTCAGAACAGCCGATAATAAGTTAGTGACACTGATCCTGCAGCAGTTCAGGATTCAGCTGTCACTATAGGTTTTCTGATTGTTGCAACAACGATCAGCAAACTGAAACATTCTTCTTCCAGGAATAGATACATTATAGGAATAGACACATTATGTATCTATTCATGAAAGAAAAAAAGAAAAAAAAGCCAGTATAGCTTGAGAGAGATATCTCTCTCGATCTATACGAGCTGTCAGAATGCCGGCAAAAGCCAGCATCTGTGTCCGCTCTGCTGTTACTCTCAGACACCCGATATTAAGGTATCGGGTGTCTGAAAAAGGTTAACCCTTTCATTAATGAATGCCTCTGTAGTAAGGGCATCTATTAATGAATGTTAAAAGCTGATTCTCAGCGTTTAACAGCCCTCTAAAGCAGCAAATAACTCGTCACGTACAGTGTACGTGACAAGTCATTTGGTCCCTTTGTGGCTGGACGTACAGTGTACGTCTCCCGTCACGAAGGGGTTAAATACATCAGTGAAAGTGTTTTGTTACATCAGTATGATAAGTGCAAAAACTGCAAATAATACCTGCCAATCTCTGCAGAAATTCAGAACTGTCCGGTGCACACTTCCTGTGTCAACCCAAAGAGGGTCTTTGGTCCTACCAACTTCTTTGGATTACATAATGATTATCCTCTATGTTGTAGAGATCTCAGAGTAGAAGTGGTTGAATAGTTAAGCCGAGACCACTCCAAAATACTGTGTTTCGTCAGCCCACATAAGGAATTAGGAGCTGAGAACATTTCTGGCAGATCAACATGTATTTTCTTGCACTTGCAGGGTCTTTAAAGGGATAAAACATGGGAAATGTGCAGATACTGCAGAGATGTACACCCTTGACATATACACTTTAATCAAAATCTACATACAGTAGGTAACGAAAGTGATAAAGGTCTATGTGCCATCCTTTGCTGCGGTTTTGATACCTTCTACTGGTGCTTATCATGGTCCAGACAATTGTGCCAATGTGCACGTACATAGACATGTATTAAATTGGAGTATGCACTTTTGCACAACCTTTTTATGGTGTTAAATGTGTTGATGTGGTATTCTGAGCAATAATAACCTCTTTTCAACCCTTTTTTCTGGCCCCTCTTTTTGCATTGTTTATTCCATTATCATGTTTATCCCATTATGACACTTAGGACATTTTGATCTGTGTGTCGAACGCATGTCTCCAGATTTTCTGGGCAGATGCATAATGTCCCCATATTGTCTTATTACCTATGTTTTCTAACTGCTGGTTCAGTAGATATTAGTAGAAGGCTTTATCCATTTGGTTTTGATATTTTTTGGTTTTGATATTTCCTATGATATTATGATGCCTCTTCTCCCTCTAGTCATTTCTCCCTTTCCTGTATCTTACTTCCTCCATCTCTTTTCTTCTTCTGCCCTTGTATATCCCTTTCTTTCTTTCTTCCTTCCCTGTGTCACGCTGATTTGGCCAGAGCGTCCGTTGCCTAGCTACCAGTTGTGTTAGCACATCTGATTACCTGGGCGGAACCCACTTTGGCACACTCAGCGTCCCGTTACCCTGCCCTCTACCGCGCATGTGCGGCCAATACTTCTGTACGCGTGCGCCCTGTGACCCGCCGCACACACGGCTTGCCACCTGTGGGCGGGACCTGCCTCTGTACGTATTGTTCGGTCTATTGAGGCATGCTGTAACTATGGCAACTCCAGCAGCTGGACGCCGTGGCCACGTGAGCGGTGTCAGATCCTGCTCCACGAGGTATCGTTATTATCTGTTTGAATGTTTGCACACAATAAGTAACTTGGATTGTATGCTTTCCTATATTCTCGTGATGTCTTGTGAAGTTCATTAGTCAGCATTCAGCTGCTTAACTTTTTCTTTTGATGAGCATGACGTCATCATGACGTTAATTAACCTTGATTGGTGGTTCATTTTTATCTGTTGGTCTATATAAAGTGGTGTGATCTTGAACACTGTGCCATTGCTGAGCCTGATGAAGGGGATCCTGCGTGGCCCCCAAAGCGCTAGTTTTGGTGACATGACGTTCCAATAAACAAACTCTTTGGACTGCAATACTGGTGGTGTGCTGGTGACATTTATTCATCTTTATCCTGTGCTGCAGGAGACACAAAGCTGCGCTACCTTCTGCACCAGTCATGAAGTCAGTTATAGAGGAGCTAATTGTACATATGTTACATTCATACAAAGTGATTGCACAGATACTGGAGCCGTCGGCAATATCAAGGAACCTACTTCAGCAAATCGCCTCTGTAAATCTTAGTATGAACGGTGATCTTACTTGTCTTTCTTCTTATTGATGTAGCTCTCCAAGGCCTGAGGGTCCTCCAGGAGCATTCTCGGAACCTCAAAGCGGTGTGTATCCGACTTCTCATAGCTGTAGACAAAAAAACACACTGAGATTTTAAAACCTTACTATGACACAGAATGGATTGTTCCTCTTATTGGATTGGAAACAAACATGTTGTGAATATTTTCTGTTTTTAAGGTGGCCACTACAGTGAAGACAATGTCCAACCTTTAATTTGGTAAAGACAGGCACAAGGAATTCAAACGTGGCAGAATGTGTAGAGAGCAATCCACTGTACAGAAGAGCTCAGACTGAGGAGGGAGAAGCAGCACAAGGAGCCAATCAATTGGGTTGCAAAGCGAGGAGCATGCTGATATGAAAAGAGTGAAGAGTGATAGAGAGATGAGCTTATCAGTGTGCTGGTGCTCCTTTCACTGTTTAATCACAGGCTGGGGGTGGAGAGGAGACCTGTAACTGTTACTGAACTTCAACATCAAAATCAGTAGGGATGCACCGATACCCTTACGAGTACGAGTACCGATATTTATCTTTGGATACTTGCCGATGCCGAGTACCGATACTTCCGCTAGCATGGAGCCGGCTTCCTGATTGGCCAGCTCCATGCTGATTGGCTGGGAAGCCGGCTTCCCGGCCAATCATCATCGAGCCAGCCAAACAGCATGTAGCCGGCTTCCTGGCCATTCAGAAAGCCAGGTGGTGAGTCAATACCCGCCGCCCAGCTTCCTGATTGGCCGGGAAGCCGGATCCATGTTCCCTCACGGCACTCCCTGTCAGAGGAAATCTCCCTCTGACCGGAAGTTCCGGTATCGGAGGTAAGTATCACAGCATTTGGTACTTGCCCAAACACTCAGTATCGGCATCGATGCCGATACTAGTGTTGGTATCGGTGCATCTCTAAAAATCAGGTATCCTGCCCTGCAAGACAAGGCTGTGTTGTGTGGCAGAGCTGCTTAAATCTCAGGACTGGATGGACAAAATCTTAATCCTTCGGCAGGAAAAACAGCTCTCAAATATTGTATTTAGCTGCTTGCTTGGAGATCGCCTTTAATTACACAGATAAACGGTCTCAATGAGCACACTCACAAGTTGAGGGAATCGTTGCGGTCCCCCGTGGCTTCCATGTGCTTGGCGTACTGGTAGTAGGTGGTGCGCAGGTGTACTCGGTCATGGTTCTCTGCAATCTCAATGGCTTTTTGCCACTTTCCCCACGCCTGGTACAGTTTATTCAGAAGATCATAACGCTTACAAGATTTATACAGCTGTTCTGCATCTTCCTGCAAGACAAGAGAACATACATCACATGATTCAACAAAGTTTGCCAATGGTTTAGTACTGGGCCTTAAAGAATACGTACCCTATACCACTCACCCTCCTCATCACAATTATATTGCATATAGTACAGCCTGTTCCAAGCCATAGATTTGTTTACATCCCTGCTGCACTTATTTCCCCCAAAGTCTGGTGTCAGCTTCCATCAGACACTGGAAATGGTCTTCTTTATCTCTATGGCTAATGCCAACCAGTACATGGGACAGAGCAGTCAGGAAAGCACAGTGTAATTGTAAAGAAAGCTGTGGCTCAGGCCAGGCTGTCAGCTAAAGGACATGTCCACATTAGGGCTGGGGTCTGATTTATATATATGTG